TTTGACGCCACAAACCACACCCAGTCACCCGCCCTGGAAACGGGTGAGGGGAGGGGGGAGGGGGGGCAACACAACCACATCCAGTCAACCACATCCAGTCCTAACGGGTGAGGGAGGGGGGAGGGGGGTGGAGGGGGGGGACAAGAATAAGCTTGTTTGACGCGCTCAACACAACCGCATCCAGTCACCCGCCCTGCAACGGGGGGAGGGGGAAGGGGGGGGGGATAAGAATAAGCTTGTTTGACGCCACACACCACACCCAGTCACCCGCCCTGGAAACGGGTGAGGGGATGGGGGGGGGTTTCGAGGGGCAAAAACGACTGTTGTTGACCAACGCGCCCTGCACGGTCAGCCGCAGGGGGAGCCCTGCACGGTCAGCCGCAGTGCTTGGGAGGGGGTGGAGGGGGAAGGGGGGGAGGGGGGGCTTGGGCGGGCTGGGCGTCTACAGACATCTGACCCTAGGGGGGCCTTCCACGCAAGGCCTCAGGTCAGTTGTTTCTGGGTCCAGGGTTCGGGTTTGGAGGGGCAAAAAAACGACTGTTGTTGCCCGATGCGCCCTGCAATGGGGTGACAGGTGGCAGGGGCAGAGAGCCTGCCGGATGTGGCAGGGACGCGACTTTTCAACCGACAAACACCTCATCCTGTGGCCCTGCCATATTTTAAGACCGAAAGGTGGGCACAAGTGACAGGTCTGCGTTTTGGCGGGAGGTGGCCCAAAGTGCGGCCCTGCTGTGATTTGAGGCACGTACGCGGGCACAAGTGACCCGCGTAAGGCGGGCACAACTGACCAGCCTAAAGCGGGCACAAGCGACCGGTCTGCCCTTGCTGCACATGGCACCTGCTGCCTTTCGCTCGTCCTGGACCAGCTCATAGAGCACATGTCATGCGGTTTTCGTGAGTGGTTGCAAAGAGGCACTCCGCTGGCTCTCAGCCAGCCCACGCACTTCTGCATGGACATCCCGGCGCAACAGCGCGCGGGGTTTTGATGCTGCCAGGATGCCCCACGCCCCGGCCCCGTCACACAAAGGGGTTGTGAGCAGGTCCCACCGAGACGAACTTAAAGACTTTGCCGGCGCCCCCCACGAAAAGCCGGTTTAACTCCCGGAGGTGGAGCTGGGGAGGCCAGGTTTGGCAGCCCCGTTCTCCGGCTGCGGGTAAGCCCTGAGCGGGAGCCGGCTCTCACCCGGCCTTTACTGGAGGTCACGCGGGGCGGCCAGCGTCCGCTGCTGTCTGAACTGAATGAGGGACGCTTTAAGACAGCCGCGCGGCTGCAGTGGAACAGGCCCATTGCGGATAAGAGCACCAACCAGACATCTGGGGCCGAAACCCTACAATGCTATACGCCGGGTGGTTTGGGGTGGGTGTACCGCCACGCGACGCGCGCGTAGGAGTGGGCCCGTGAAAGCCACTCTATAGGGCCCACGACGTGCGCTAAGAACGTTGACACACCCTAAACCCTAAACCCGGGGCCTGTCTGCCTCTCCTTGTCAGTGCTGCGGCGCAGAATCATCGACTTGCGCTCTGCATCTACATCCTTCCGCGGTGTGAGGGTCGTTTAGGGTTTAGGGTTTAGGGTTGGGTCCAGGGGTTAGGGTTTAGGGTTTAGGGTAGAGGGTTTAGGGTCTTAGGAGTCATACCTGGGACGGCATTTGCCTGCAGCTCAGTAGCAGCTGCCCTGAATTGGGGTTTAGGATTTAGGGTTTAGGGTATAGGGCTTAGGTATAATCCCATAAACTGGAGGTCAACAGGGTCAAGGGTAGGGTTGTATGGGCTGAACTCTCCCATGAGAACCACTCGTTTAACTCAACTTACCTCCTTGCGAAAACATTGCGCAGAATGGAGGGGTACCTTATGGAGGTCCCCCATGATAAGGAAAATCCTACTATTTGGGGTTCCCTTACTTTCGCAAACCCCGAAATTTTCCGCGGGTACGATGCTCGGGGGACGATGCTCAGGGGATATACGCAGCTGTACTCACCACGTGACCAACTGCTGATACATCGCGTGAAAGGACTGAATGAATTAAGAGAAGCTTCACCAGAACTTACTCCTGGTGAGAACTAGCAAGAAGAAACATCTTCTTTCAAATCTCAAGGCATGACTCGCTGCTTCAAAACCCTGGAACCGAGCAGCCTCAACGGGTCACGGAAACACTTGTCACTTGTCAGGCCTTGCAGCGTCCACACCTCCTCCAAAAGAACATCCTGCGCGTGAAGCGGCGCAGATGTGGCGCAGCACACCACTTTGGGCAGCGTCGGTAGCGTCGAAAGTGACGGGAGTAGGAGTAACTGTACGACGGGCTCGGGGTCGTTGGCTCGGGCGCGTTGCATCCGATGATGCTGCCAGTGGCCGTCACATTTACGAATCGTCCTGGAACATCGGACACAAAGCCAGTCAGGACTGCGGCTGATGCAGAAATGCCCACTTGATAGTCATCCACAGTGCTGTTGACGAACAGCGTCTGCGCTGGACCCCAAAGATCATCGGCACCTTTCTCGAAGAAGCTGATGTGCATCACACGAGGCATTCCAGATGCTTCGACCACGCCCTTGGAGATCAAAAGCCGGATTGCCGAAAACAACTACACGAACTATACCCCCAAAAAACCATCAAGCAGCCTGAGATTGTGCATTTTGCTCCGCTCAAGACGAAGACGTCTCACAAGACTAGAATCACCCTGGTAAAATCGATCCCCATCCTCGACAACCACCCTCTAGTCGCTGGAGCGAGATTCAACTGCCACTATTGCTTTGCCAGAGCTGGAAATATCTGCATCTTGGCAGAAAGCGGACGGTACATTTGCGGGCGCGACCTCTTGGCGATAGACCTGTCCGTGTTCTACTGAACCTGCTTAGCTGGCTCAAAGATGTTGTATAAGAGTTTCTATCCAGAGTTTTGGGGTGGCTTGTGGGGGCTATGCGCAAGTGTTATGTCATGTTATGTCTTGTGTGATTTTAGACTCTTGCAGATCACTAGTTTCTTTGGCGGCCTCTCCACTGCGCCCTTTGTGGGGATCGGTTCAGGTTTTGTTTTTGCCCCCTGCCTAGCTGATTGTAACGTCGCACTGCAGAACACCCTAAACCCTAAACCCTAAACCCTAAACCCTAAACCCTAAACCCTAAACCCACACGTTATTGTTGTAGGAACAAAGGCTTCCATCCCGTCTGCTACAACTGGCGTCCTGGGCCCCCTCCCACAAGACCACAAGGGACGACAACTCTGCAAAACCACAACAAACCAAAAGAACGACAACTAAACCCTAAACCCTAAACCCTAAACCCTAAACCCTAAACCCTAAACCCTAAACCCTAAACCCTAAACCCTAAACCTAAACCCTAAACCCTAAACCCTAAACCCTAAACCCTAAACCCTCAAGACAAAATAAATAGAAATTGTATGTGTTATCATTATGAATTTCCCAAGTTATTTGTCTGAGCCCTAAATTCCTTTTGCCTAGTCATGGCTACGCAGTTTACTTAAACCTCCTTTGTCTGCTCGGATGCTCAATTTACTTAAATTTGTTTTGAGCTCCAGGACTTAATTTTGAGTTCTGGGAGCTGATTTTAGGCTGCGGGAGCTATTTGAGCTCCGGGAGCTAGTTTTTTGCTTCTGGGAATTCATTTTGATTTCTGGGAGCTAATTTTGAGGTCCGGGAGTGAATTTTGAGCTCTGGGAGCTAATTTTGAGCTTTGGGAGCTAATTTTGGACTCCGGGAGCTAATTTTGGGCTCCGGACCTAAATTCGGACTCCGGAGCTAATTTTGAGCTCCGGGAGTTAATTTGAGCTCCGGGAGCTAATTTTGAGCTCCGGGAGCTCCGGGAGCTCCTTGCGCTCTGGGACCTAATTTTGAGTCCCGGGAGCTAATTTGAGCTTTGGGCGTCAGTTTTGAGCTCCCGGAGCTCATTTTTAGCTCTGGGAGCTTATTTTGAGCTCTGGGACTTAATTTTGAGCTCCCGGAGTTAATTTTGAGCTCCCGGAGCTAATTCTGAGTTTGAGCTCCGGGACTTAATTTTGAGTTCTGGGAGCTAATTTTGAGCTGCGGGAGCTATTTGAGCTCCGGGAGCTAATTTGGGGGTAATTTTGAGCTTTGGGAGCCAATTTTGAGCTCTGGGAATGAATTTGAGCTCTGCTCCGGGAGCTAATTTTGAGCTCCGGAAGCTAATTCTGAGCTCTGGGAGCTAATTTTGAGCTCCGGGACTTAATTTTGAGTTCTGAAAGATAATTTTTAGTTGCGGGAGCTAATTTTGAGCTCCGGGAGCTAATTTTGAGCTCCGCGAGCTAATCTTGAGCTCCGGGAGCTAATTTTGAGCTGCGGGAGCTAATTTTGAGCTCCGGGAGCTAATTTGAGCTCCGGGAGCTAATTTTGAGCTCCGGGAGCTAATTTTGAGCTCCGGGAGGTAATTTTGAGCTCCGGGAGCTAATTTTGAGCTCCGGGAGCTAATTTTGAGCTCGGGAGCTAATTTTTTGAGCTTGAAAAGCTAATTTTGAGCTCCGGGAGTTAATTTTGAGCTCCGGAGATAATTTTGAGCCGGGAGCTAATTTTGAGCTCCGGGAGCTAATTTTGAGCTCCGGGAGCTAATTACGGGAGCTAATTTTTGAGCTCCGGGAGCTAGTTTTTGAGCTCCGAGCTCCGGGAGCTAATTTTAAGCTCCGGGAGCTAATTTTGAGCTCCGGGAGCTAATTCTGAGTTTGAGCTCCGGGACCTAATTTTGAGTTCTGGGAGCTAATTTTGAGCTCACTTGGTCCAAACGTTTTTTTTTTTCACCGGGCGTCCCTCCGAAGAGGACAGCACGAGCAAAAGGACACCCGGTGAAAAAAAACTCCCAGGCGAGTTTTTTTTTACCGGGCGTCCTTTTGCTTGTGCTGTCCTCTTTGGAGGACGCCCGGTGAAAAAAAACTCGCCTGGGAGTTTTTTTTCACCGGGTGTCCTTTTGCTCGTGCTGTCCTCTTTGGAGGGACGCCCGGTGAAAAAAAACTGTTTGGGACCCAAACCCTATACAATTTCTATAAACCCTAAACCCTAAACCCTAAACCCTAAACCCTAAACCCTAAACCCTAAACCCTAAACCCTAAACCCTAAACCCTAAACCCTAAACCCTAAACAAGTTAAAGGTTTAGGGTTTGGGGCTCGGGTAGGGTTTGACGTTTCAAATGCCTGTGAGAGAGAGAGGGGGGGGTTTAGGGTTTAGGGTTTAGGGTTTAGGGTTTAGGGTTTAGGGTTTAGGGTTTAGGGTTTAGGACCCATCGGGTAAAAAGTTCAGACTTTCAGAGCAAGAGTACATTATAAGACGTCAAAAGTTGAAAAGTTGGGTTTTGAACCACGAAGTTCAACTTTGAAGGAAGCGGCCGGCGCAACCTTCGAGTCGGCCACCTAGAATCATGCTCCGCATCGACACGCGGTTGAGGGTTTAGAGGGTTTAGGGTTTCTAGGGTCAGGGTTTAGGGTTTAGGGTTTAGGGTTTAGGGTTTAGGGTTTAGGGTTTAGGGTTTAGGGTTTAGGGTTTAGGGTTTAGGGTTTAGGGTTTAGGGTTTAGGGTTTAGGGTTTAGGGCTTAGGCTTGAGGAATCGTTAGCGTTTGGGCTTGGACTTCGGCCTGCTGCTGATGTTGGAGGCTCAGGCCTGTGCATTAAAGCTTCTCAGGAATATACAGAATGGAGTTGCTTGCACGGGACGAAACACTAACACATAAGCAAGCAGACAGCCAACCAACCCAGCTCAACCCAACACCACCCTATACAAACCCAACCCAACCCAAACTAAACCAAAAGACCAACAAACAACACAAGCACGCACGCACGCACGCACAAGCCACCAAACCACTAACTGATTTTGCACAGCATCCTAAACGTCACATACACATTGATTTTCTTGCTTGAAGCGTCAGGTACAGGTGGTTGATCAGAGGCTCCCGTCCCAATTAGGCTCCGAGAGCCCCCTGCTGAAACATGCATGGTAATTGAATTTGACATCGGGCTGTCCCTTGGTAACAGGTTTTGTGTCTTTACATGCTCCTGCCCATCCCAGATGAGACTGAGTGCAGCAATGCCCCATTTTTCAAGCAGCTGCACGTTGTCGTCCCGGCTGAAAGTTGAGTGAGGTTTGCCCTCAAAGACAGTTTACACAAAAATAGCTGGCCAGCTATGATTGAACTCAAAGACAAGGCCTCTGTACGTGGCCTGATGAGTGGCCCAAAGCCCAAACCATTGGTTCTCACACTTCTTGCTACACCAAAAGAAGAAGAATATGAAGGGAGTAAAGGCACCACTTGAGATCGCGCTGACATCGCGGCTTTCCAAACAGAAGAAGAGACCTTGTCGTTCTGGAGCAACATGCGCCCAGGCTTCTTGTATCTCAAAACAGAACGTGGACACTTCCAGCGACCCGTTCTTGTATCTCGTTGAAATCACGGATCTTGCGAAAACAGTCTGTGCTCGCACCTGAGTGCCCCACGTGCGGGGTGAGTTTGAGATGACCAAGCCCCGCGTGTTCTGAAGCTTTCTTGATATGCGACACATAATCCCTGCATGACAGATTTCCGAAGAGATAGTCATGGCCACACGAGGTCTTGTAGAGACACTTCACGATGACATTGACATCAATCCTCTCCTTCGTGTCAAACAAGATTGTATCATCAAACTCACCAGATTTTGCAGGGGCCCCTTCTTCAAATGGACAAATGACTACGCCCCAAATCTCAGACAGCGTTGAACTCGAAGGTGGCACCACGCAATCGCGGCGAATGCTGAGGACCTCATTTGGTCGAAGGTACGAGTCACCCTGAATCAGGGTTGCACATGCACTGCCTATAAAGCCCAAGCGAACACAGTGAAGCGCACGAAGCCCCCAGAATCGCAAATCGACCCCCGTTCTCTTCTTTGCAGGAAAGCGTGCCCGCCATCCTTTCATGGCTTGTTTTGCAAAGGGCAGCTGATCGCGCTCCTGCGTATGAAAACTGGACCTCAGCAAGATGTTTCCGAAAATGGCGTAGTTTGCATCCGAAATGTTCCGCGAGTCTTCGCATAGCTCATGCAGAAAATCAACCATAGCTTCATCTATCTCTTGGTGGCTGCCAAGGTTGAGTGCCCTCTCTAACGCCCATCTCTCAAACTCTACGACCGCGTTGTGATAGAGCTTGAGGGTGGCAGGCTTAACCTTGGAGGCACGCAGACGTTTGTGTGGAGGAACGGCCTGCTCAGTACTTGTCCGAAGCATTCGTAAGCGCTGAATTTACAGCCTGACACGTACCGTTGGCGACAAAGCTCTGCCGGGTATACTGCAGCGTTTTGGGACTTATTGAGCCACAAAGTACGAGAGCCATCGCCACAAAGTACGAGAGCCATCTTTGCACATATAGTTCTTCCCCGGAGCTGTTCTGCGCGGCGTTTATGGTGACACTCTCCCGCAGCTTCTTGAGGAGGGGACAGTTTGTAGGCAGGGTTATATTGGCTTTTTATATGGCATCCCATACTTGCACATCGGAAATCTGACCTCAAACACATTGTCCAACATCTTTAAGTCCTTTATGGCCCAAAACTCCCAGAGCCTCGACGACGACGGATTCTCGATGCACCAGAAGATATTCTTCGAATGCGCATTCCTGCGCAGTCCTGCCGCGAATAAGGCAAGTTCGCACCCGACACGTTCTCTCTCTCGCGCTCTGCAAATGTTCTGAATGTTGCGGCGAGCTTGTGCGAACACTGTGCGCGGCGTTCCCAGGTGTAGATAACCAACTTCAGAATGGAGGAGCATCTCAATCACAGCCAGCTGTGTACTTCTACGAGTTAAGTCATGCGCCGGCCCATGAGCTATATCCATATATATAGGCGGAAGGACTGCCCGTCCATGCGACACAAAGGTTTGGGAAAGTTGTCCACCTCCACGAAAACCCTCCCAAACACAACCCTTCCAACGAAGCCCGGGAGGAAGCCGAACATGTAGCCGTAGCCGATCCGAACGCTCCCTTGAAGAAGTGGGCGCGTCTCTGTCGTCCATAGCCTGCGGGGGGCCACATTCTTCAGGAGTGTCTGAACCTCCGGGTTCTCGACTCTCGACGTGTCTCTGGGGGAAAAAGAACATCATGCAAACGAACGCTAACAGGCTGACCGCTGGGAGGTGACTCAAGGTTGTTCTGCTCGTCCCACGACGGTTCGAAATGACGTTTTGCTTCAAAAAGTCGCGAGGGGGCGTCGGCGAGGTTCCTCTTGGTTTCGACATGTCCCAGCCTCCAGCGGATTCCCAACCTCGCCTGACCTTTTCAAGCTACTGAGCACGACTCTCCCCTCCTTCATGCCAATGTGCTCTTCAGGCCAGCGTTTTGCCCAGAAAGGTGTCCTCAGAAAGTAGCTCAGGATCAAGAGGCGGAACAAGAGCGGGGCAGTCAACATCCACTGTCATGGATCTTTTGGCACGATATTGGCTCATCAGGGGGCTCGTTTTCAACCACGACCCTTCCCGAAGTGCCTCTTGCAACCACTGTGTGTGAATATTGCGTGCCAAGCCCAACCCCCGAAAGTGTCGCCCCTGACCATGTGCTACGCATTGCGCTTTCCAAGCGCCCAAAGTCGTACACATCTTCGTGACTTGCGCCTAACTTCTCAACCAGCTCCTTCAACGAATCTGGTAGCGACACATAACGCCACTTTTCTCAAAAACAACACGCAGATCGGATCAATGATGTAGAAGCTCTTCGACTCATGAGGGCGTAACCGTTGTCGGCCGAGCCACCCATGTCGACGTGAGAAATGTGACCCGCTCCCAAGTCAACTCTTGCAAACCAAATGAGATCACACGCGTTCTGAATCTCCGCCCTGACGGCCGGCCACAAAGGGACGCGCTTATCCTCTGTAATCATAGTGAACCGGTAAATCTTGTCAAAGATACTCAGGAAATATGGACTGAAACGAAACATGGCGGTGACTTGCCCAAGCCAAACTTGAACAACTTTCCCTGTGCTCTGTTCTCAACGTCCTTCTTACGGGCCCCTATAATAGCAACATTGTCCACATAAATCGAAGTGATAGTGGGGGAATCCCAAAGCTGGGGCACCGGGAGCTTCTCTCTCATCTCACATCCATGCCCTTCAAACGTTTCTCGGACTATGCTTGCGATAGTCTCGTTTGCAAAAAAGAGCGCCCAGGTCCAACCCATTGAGAACTGGATACAGAACTTCATCAGGCCGAACACGCTCTTGAATCCCTCTATCCTCATTATACACAGTGTCGACATCAAAACCATGTTCAGCCCAATCGCTCGCCACTTTGGGGAAGTCTATACCAAACCATGAGCCCATCTCTTTCAACTGAAACTGGTAAAAGCAATCGGAGACATCCATCTCGGTGCCCCAACTTATCTCCTCCTCCGGCTGACTCAAACGTTCCGACAGCGACTCGCTTGAAAGGTCAAGGTCTGCAAAGTTAGAGGCGCTGCCCAGCCTGGTGATAGGAGGATGCCTGTGATGAGCGTTCGTGACGCGTGCATCGATTATCATGCGAATAGCATCAGGCGTCTTCTTCACGAAGAGGATGCCCACCTTGCTACGAATTCGCTTGCGAAACCCAACAATTCCCACTGCAACCGCTTCAGGAAGTCTGTGAATTCTCAGCTGGCTGTCAGCACGTAAGGTGGGATCCCAATACGGTTGTCTGGGGCAGCTTTCTGGGCTCGCGGCTTTAAACTCTTCGAATTCTTTCGGGGATCTCTCGATGTGTGCTTGCCGTCTCCGAGATAGAGGTAAAACATGATAAAACCACCAGCTCCACCAAGCAAGGAGGTTTCAAGCCTGACCGAAGTATTTTTAACTTGTCAGGGTCATAGCATGCAAGATTGCCGGGCTCCCCTTCATAGAGGTTGTGACATCTCATCAAGTCCTGAAGAGCATCTTTGCCGAGGTAACCATCAGGACACGGGCCCGCCTCTGCAATCAGAGCTTTCGCTCGCTGCAAACAAAAGGTTATTCTGGACTGCAGTGGGCGGTCGATGAGAATGCTGTGGAAGAGGTGTTTCGAATTTGTAGCCAGCGAGGCGGTTGAAAGCTCGCCCAACCTGTTGAACCCGCGAAGGCTGGTCCTGAAGGGCACCAGGCCCTAGAGGAAAGGGGAAATCGTGTCGCCGAAGTCCACTGGTCTCCTCCATGGCGGCCTCAAAATTTGCGCAAGCTGTAACCTCCAGCGCAGGCCACACGGAGAGCGCCAGAGGAGTCGCACACCGCGTAGTTGCCGCCGCCTGCGGCGCCACTTTGCGCCCCGGCTTTGGCTTTCCCTTTGGAGTTCCCCGGAGCCGGCTGCAACTCCAGGCCGCCGACCACCGACTCCTCACGATAGAGTCTTGCTTGCTTCTGTACGTTTGCTCTGTCCTTCAAACGACCAGCTAGCCAGTTGTTGAACCCAACTAGCCAGTTGTTGAACCCAAGCGTTACGGCCTGTCAACTGACTCCAACTGGCTGCTCCATCACCAAATCCAAGCCGCTGTCGTCGGGAGCCAACAGGTTGCGTGCCACCGCCATCTCGATCTGGATGAGCCTCCGAATGGTGATCTCGGCCATGAGGAGATTCGAGAGGTCAAGCTGGTCTGTCGCGCCCACTGTCGCAAAGGACCTTGTGCTCGTGTGCGGCTGCAGAAAATTGGGAGACTCCTGACGACTGACTCCAGTTCAAGTGGTAACTCGTCATGTCGGTAGCCCCTTCCCTCACTGCTGCTCCATGACCCCGAGGACTGGCAAGGGGCCTCCTCAAGCTTTGTGTTTCTCATCAGCGTAACACCTTTAAAGTCAAGGAAGCGTTTCCGCTGTCCATCTCGATGGTCTCCCCACAGACGGATGCCCCCCTTTGACTTCTCCTTTCTCTCAATCCATGCCACCCGATCTGCAGCAGGGATCCTACGCACATAGACTTCCTCCCCATCCCTCTCTACCAGAGCGCAGTCTCGGAGAATGACTCCGTCTTCCACTTCGTCCTCCGGAACAATCTCCCCGAAGTCCGCGCGAGTCACAAGCCTGGATCTCCTCAACTCCAGCGTCATTGAAAAGATTGGCCATCACGAGGAATGGGGTCAAAGGCGTAGACGAAAGGGGCTTGTGCATGAGGGAAGTCGGCCCGACGAGCCAAAGGGACATGCCATGCTTGATTCAGGTTGATACGCTCAATATCACCGTCAGGGGTGACTCCAATCCAAACACCAGGAGCTGTTTTCTCCAGCAACAATCTATGTTGCCAAAAGAAGCCCCCAGCGTCATTCGGGAAGTGAAGCAGCACCTGAGGTTCTTTGAGATCTAGTGTTCTAGGTTGCGCTGCTGCCATGCTTTGAGGCTGAACTTAACGAAGTTCGCCCCACCAGCAACCGAACCCGACTGCCTCCACAGCTTCCAGACCAACAAACACACCAGTCCAATCAGCGAACGCAAATACCCCTGGCAGCAATACGCCTTTTTTCTCCAGAGCCACCTTAACTCATCTGAGCCAGGAACCACGAAACCCTAATAACCCTAAACCCTAAACCCTTCAACCCTCAACCCTTCAACCCTGAACCCTAAATTTTCAAGCCAACATGTAATTGGGAGCTTGGGTCTTCGGAGAATGTGCTGAAACCGGCCTCCGCCCACGAGCCGTTGCGGCGTTCGTAGACGACTGCAGTATGGCTCGCCGATCCGTCATTGAGGACCTGACAAGCATGTCTCAAAGGGTTAGGTTTAGGGTTTAGGGTTTAGGGTTTAGGGTTGAGGGTTTAGGGTTTAGGGTTTAGGCGAAGTAACCTGGCGGAATTCCGTTCCTTGTTAATTACTGCGGAATTACAGCAACAAAACAGGGGTTGCAAACTCTTGTCACTGCAACGTTTTGTGCCCCTGGAGTCGCAGTAACCTTACCCAGTACTCTGGGCCTATGTGGGGGTTTACGATATTAGGGGTCTTTGGTCCGCATTATAAGGGAACCCTACTGTTTGGGGGACTATGTTGGGGGTCCCTTGTTGTTCGTAAACTCCCATAACCCTAAACCCTATAAACCCCAAAACCCTAAACCCCCATAAACCCTAAACCCTAAACCCCTTGGTTTCTGAACCCTCGCCGCCAGTGCGTAGTTGCCCTCCACTGCCAGCTTCGAGAGTAGCCATCCAGGCGGGGAAGCCTCAACATCCACTGCTGAACTAACGAGCACCCCACCCTGAGGGCACCCCAAACCCTAGCGGCCCTAGCCCTTAAACCCTAAACCCTAAACGAATCACTTCTGACGCTTCTGGGAAACAAAGGGAGTAAAGTTCGCAACCGGCCCACTCCACGAGCTGCCTGCCCACTCATACCTGCAAGTCAAGGGCGCCATGTTAAGGGTTCAGGGTTTTAGGCTTTTTCAGGGTTTAGTCGCTCACTCTCGCACAAGCCGGCAAGGTTTTTCGGGCTTAGGGTTTAGAATTTAGGGTTTAGGGCGACTGAAGAAGGGCCAGGAGAAATCGGACAAGGTCTTGGAAGAGTTAAGGGTTTCGACGCTTGGTACACTTCTCGATTTGTGCTTGTCAACCCTGCGCAGGGCTTAGGGTTTAGGGCTACGGGTTTAGGCTAACGCAATCCCACGTCTACGGCTGTTCGGGGTGGGAGGGGGGGAGGGTATAAAATCCATTCATATGGGTATTTACAACATTTTTGTCAAGGATGTTTGACGTTTTCTGGAGCAAGACACGTGGTTACAAGCGTTCATGCTCTTGGCGAAGATGCCCGAAACACTGGTATTTGCAGCATGTTGGCTTCTCTTCGCAATATCTTATGGAACAAGACACGCGGTCATCAGCGTTCATGCCTTTGGCGAAGTGCCCAAACCACTGGCATTTGCAGCGTTTTTGCCTCGCTGTACATATTTCTGCCTCTTTGTACAACATAAGCACAAGAACGCCGTGCACAGTGCTTTCGCCAGAAGATAGTGTTCAAAAAGCAAGCACTTTAAAGATCGAACTTCGCAGGCGTCGCAAACAGCGCTGTGCGCGGTGTTCTTGCGCGCGCGATCACGAAAGCCTGGCGGCAGTGGTGATTTTGAGGATAGACAAGACACGTCCAGCGAATATGACGAGCACAAACCTCGAGTTTTCCACGTTTTCCGGCATCCAACTCCAAAATGGCACGCACAAAACGCGCAGGGCCACAATGGACGGTGATAGCGGGTTGACACCCTAAACCCTAAACCCTAAACCCTAAACCCTAAACCCTAAACCCTAAGTTGTCTAATGGACAGTGCGACAGTCCTGGTTGAAGAGCTGGGGTCTCTCCCTTGGCCCACTCTGGGACATGCATCCCTTGGGGACCAAATCAACCGGTAACGGGTTTCTGGTTCATTAACCGGGATTATTGCCGTATAGGGTATTTGACCGCAATTTCAGGCTTCAATTGGTCGTTGTTCTGACCCTTTCTGCAGCTCTTTGCAATTCTGATCGCCCGAAATCTTCGCGCCGAACATCCAAAAATGAGCCTAGACCCTAAACACCCTCTACACCCTATAAACCCTACTGTATAAACCCTACTGTATAAACCCTACTGTATAAACCCTATAAACCCTATAAACCCTACAAACCCCATAAACCCCAAACCCTCAAGACAAAATAAATAGAAATTGTATGTGGAATCATTCAGGATTTCCCAGGTTATTTGTCTAAAAGCTGACAAGCTGAATTTTACGAAAAAAACTCCAAAACACCTCTGGGAGGCCAAATGCTCAATGTACTTAAACCTCTGGCCCGTCCAGTTCCCCCCCTCACCCCCCAGCCCTCCTTCCCCCACCCACCCCCTTCTCAGCCCCCCCCCAGCCACCCCCCAGCCCGCCCCAGCCCCCCTCCCCGCCCAAAAAAAAAAAACTGAAAAACCTAGTTCCAAAAAAACTTTTCGGTCAAAACGTTTCAGTCAAAACTTTCGCTCAAAACTTTTTGGGACCCAAACCCTATACATTTCTTTATAAACCCTAAACCCTAAACCCTAAACCCTGCTGCCCAGCCGAGATGCATGTAAACAGTGCTGACTATGTTGGGCGGGCTGGCAACGAAATTCACGGTGGCGAGGACGAGGTGCTCTTCGTCGACTGCAAATCCTTAAGCAGGATCCTTAGGGTTTAGGGTTTAGGGTTTAGGGCTTGGGGTTTAGGGTTTAGGGTTTGGGGTTTAGGGCTTAGGGTTTAAGGTAAAACCCAGCCCTCGTGCTATGAAAGGGAGCACCTCTGATGGCATGGAGCAATGCCAGGCAACGGGGCGGGATAATGGTCGTCGGGCTTGTGAGATCTGCGGAAGGCAGTCGGGACCAACTCATCCCCTGACGCTGGAAGGTTTGTAGAAGCCTTGGTAGCCGAGTAACCTTGCTCCAATAAGGGCACCCCTTTTTTTAGCCAAATTCGAGAACAATGTTGCGAGTAGCAACGAGCAGAGCTTTTCAAAGCTCGAGGTCAGTTAATTGTAAACGCTTGCGCGCGCCGCCTCGGCAGCCGGGCCGGCCCCAGGAGGAAAGACGCAAAAAAAGGGGAGGAAGGGCGGGTGGGGGGGGGAGAGGGGGGGGGGGGAGGGGGGAGGGGGGAGGGGGCGGGAGGGGGGCGGAGGGGGGAAGAGGGGGGGGGGGGGGGGGGGAGGGGGGGGAGGGGGGGGGGGAGGGTTTTGAGGCACACCTCTGTAGGAGCCACTGTGTCGGTCCCACCCCCCCCTTTTTTTGCGAAACCCTCTTTCCTCCTTTCCTGTCCTGGGGCCGGCCCGGCTGCCGAGGCTGCGCGCGCAAGCGTTTACAATTAAGTTCTTCGGTGGCGAGTCATGCATTACTTTCCCGGCACCCCTTTTTTGGGTTGGCCACTTTACAAGGGAACCTTGCAGCCCCCCCCCCCCCCCCTCCAAAAAAAAGGGAACAAGGGTACCACTGAGTTACCAAGAAGCCCCGAAGCCGATCTAAACACCAGGCGAGGTCCCCCCAGCTGAAGGCAACCATGGGAGCAGCCGCTACCTTCAGGGAACTGTTCATGGTTCACGAAGCTCCAGGACGTCCCAGTGTAGGCCCAGGTGTAGACTGTCGGGGGAGGGTCACGAACGTTATAGGCGATCACGATGTCTGCACCCAGATCAGCATTTGCCCATGTCGGGCCCGCTGTAGCGTTCCACGATGCCAGAGCCGTAAGGTTGGCGTTCAGGTGCCACCCGGAGTGGTCCCTGCTGTATATGAGGATGGCGGCCCGGGGCTCTGGAGAAAGCCCTGTGTCTACCTGGCTCCAAGCCGTCAAGGCAAAGTTGCCCCTCAGCACCGCGGATGTCTGGTGGCCGCCACCCTTTGGCACAATTGGCCGCCGTGGGTCCAAGAGCAGTTGCTCTGTCCACGAGGCGCTCGAGCAGCTTGACCCGGGCCTTGGGAACCCTAAAATCGGGGTCATATAGCCCATACTACAACTATCCCTCTGAAGGTACAATGAACCAAAGAAACCCTCTTAGGGTTGATTTGGTCCCCAAGAGGCATGGACTCTCGGTAGCGCTGTGGTGCGAGCTGCATGAGGCAGGATTGCTCTTGCCCGTTCGTGAAGTCGAACTTCCGGCAAGAGGCCACCCACCACAAACACGACAGCAGCGACTTGCGCAACATGGACCGAACGGCTCGGTTTCCCCAAGTCCTGAAGTGCACAGCTGTGCTGGCCAAGGGCCTTGCTTGGGATCCTTCTCATTGCGGTTACGCACAAGGAACCTCGAAGAGCAAGGACAGCGCACCCTATCAGAAAGGCCTTATCACCATAAAAACCGTGAGCACCACTTGCCGTGCCCCGATTCGGCCTCAGATGTCTCGAAACCTGACCCCACAACCGGACCCTAAACCCTAAACCCTACACCCTACACCCTAAACCCTAAACCCTAAACCCTAAACCCTAAGCCCTAAACATCACTGCGTTAAGACGTTTAGCGAGCGCTTGGGACTTGGGGGCGCCCGGTCCTACAAAAGAGATAGACCTGACAAGAAGACGCCCAGAACGCGTACACGAGCTGTGCACCTTTTGTAGGCCTCAAGTGCTTGGGGCTTCTCCATGAACTTGACATCCCTAAACCCTTTTCCAAGAGACTTCGCCCGCCTCGATAAGATCCCTGTGAGCCAAAAACCCTAAACCCGAAACCCTAAACCCTAAACCCTAAAACCTAAACCCTGAATCCGAAACCCAAATTGTGGCTTCTAAGGGTGGGCCCCGCGATACCGTCGACTGGAAGGCTTTAGGGTTTAAGTGTCGGGGTTTAGGGTTTAGGGTTTAGGGTTTAGGGCTTAGGGTTCAGGGCTTAGGGTTTAGGGTTTAGGGGGTTGGCAAATGCGACGCTGCCCTCGTTCCAGGCTTTGGGGTATGGGGTTTAGGGGTACAGCTTTTGGGTTTGATTGTATTTTGTGTTCAGGGCTTTGGTGGCATAGGCAGGGTTTCGTGGTGCTGAGGATTGGGGTTTAAGGTTCGGGAAGTAGGCATCATCGGAGCAATGGCAAGAACCTAACGATTGCAACGGCAGTCATATTTGCATGTGGCGATGATAGCGCGTGCCTCAAGCCCTGAACCCTAAACCCTGAGCCCTAAACCCTAATCCGCCGAGGCCTCGGGCCGGTAGTCAGAACAGGCACCCCCTGAAATGGGTACCCCCCCTAGGTGAGCAGGGTCCGCAAGTGGATGGTTCGCCAGGACCAGAGACAGTTGCAGCCCTTCCCAGCAGGGCCCCCCCTTTTTTCACTTAACCTACCACCTCTGCTGCCCCCCCCTACCCCCCCTCGCTCTAGCACACCCAATGGTTCATAAGCTAGGGGTGTCGCTTTTCAAGTTGTCCACCCCTTGCTTAATTGAATGGCTGGGGGTTTTGGCGCTTGCTCACATAAGGTGTTTGTGAAAGGCGGAGTTTTCCTGCTCCGACGCGCTGGCTTGAGGCCACACCCAAAGCCCTTTTTCGGACCCCTTTTTTTGGCCTCAAATGGGTACCCCCCCCGGGAACCGGGGTCCGCAAGCAGACGGTTCGCCAGGACCAGAGGGCATTGAAGCCCTCCCCCCCCCCCGCCCCCCCCCACCCCCCCCTCCCACCCCACTCGGGCCCCCACCCCCCTCCCCCCTACCA